AMCCGGGCCGCATGCATGCCAGGCGAGCGCGCTACCACTTAGAGCTACAACTCTTAAGCACCAAAGTGCAGTTTAAAAAAATGATGAATATGGATGGTATTAGTCAGGTATCTTCAAAGAAGGAGAACCAACAGGAAGGGAGTGTGTGTGTGTGTGTACAGAGACAGAGATACTGATCGATTATAAGAAATTGGCTCACACAATTAGGACTTGATAGCCTTCCTAAGATCTGCAGTTGGCAAACTGGAAACCTAGGAGAGCCAACAGTGTGGTCAGTTAGCCAATAGTGCAATGAAGGCCAGCAGGCTTGAGCCCCAGGAAGAGTAAAAAGAGAAAACTCATGTCCCAGCTCAAAGGTAGTCAGGCAGGAGTTCTCTCTCATCAGGGGTAATATTAGCTGGACATGAAAATGTACAGAGGAAAGACAAGTTGGAATCTGTTGGCACCATAAAAATATTCAAAGGGTTATGGCTGATATTTCACTTCCTCCTTCCAAATCTTGCACACATTTTTCTTTGKCCATTTCTAACATGGAAATACACGGGGAAGAATGTTCTGGGAAATATGGTTCTAGCTTAGCCAAATTTATGTACACAGTATAAAACCATCTTGAAGGTGATATATTTTAACAAAATAAATAGGCAAGAATTCTATAGAGGTAAGGTTTGATGAGGAAGCTATGCAAACTAATTTAATACTGTACACAGAAAAGCAAAAATAAAAACCCTAATATTGTTGACCAAGTTTTCAAAGCTGAAAATTATATTGAAGATTGAAGTTTGAAAGAGTAAGTGGAAATTTGCCGCAGTCTGTCTGGGCACAATTCAGGAGCCACTTGTCAAAAGAAACTAACTTTATTTTTAGAACTACAAACGCCAAACAAAACAGCTCCTCAGGAAAAAACCCTCAGAGCCCAACTGCCACCACCGGCTTCCACAAGCCTCTCACCCACACAAAACCTCACCACCTCCCACAATCCTCCTGCTCTTGAGGCCAATTGGCTGGGTCGC